CCTAGAGGATCCATCATGAGACAAAAAGAAATACTTTTCTATTTTTTAATTATTTAAATAAGTTGATGCTTTTGTTATTGAAACATATAATGAAAATCAGTAAATAACATTGTTTTATTTAAAGATTATTATATAAAATATAAAGTCGTTATTATATAATGATATTTATTATAATTTAAAATATAGAAATGCTTATCTATTTTGTTATTGGAACATATAATGGAATGCATTCTCATTCACGTATGCCTCCCATTAAATAAACGGCGAGCCACGTGTAGTGGGGCGCGTGATAATTCGGCGGACAAAGCGTGGCTGAGTTGTAGAGCATGACCGGCCGAGTCAGCTCGTGAAAAATCAATAAAATAACGACACGTGTTCCCAATCAAAGACGGTGGCTTTTGGGCGGATATGGCGGTTTTGAGGCGGCAAACGCGGAGACTCGGTCACTGTAATCGAAGATTCAATGGGCAAGAAACGATGGAACTAGAAGACTAATCCATATAATATTATTTTTAAATCAAATTTCATGGAACTGATTGAAACACCCATTTTTCAATTTTCTAATAAAAATAAGTTTATAAATATTAGATTCGTAAAAATAATAACTCAATGAATAACCTTAATAATTAAAGAGCATGTTGTTATTTATTAAGGTTTTAGGTCTTAAGTTTAAGCAATTACATTAATAGAGTATGTATACGTTGTTAATGATTAAAAAATATTATGACTAAATATTATTTTATAATAATATTAAACTATTTTAAAAAATAAAAAGATATCTATTTATCGAATAAAAATAAGAGTTATATATATATGATTAGAATAATTTTTTTTTGAAATAAGGTACTTTGTATTAAAAGAAAACAAAGTACACCACCTCAAGGACCTCATTAAAAAAATCTATCTAATCCTAATTGGAGGAAAAAGAGTGAATCTTGAGGTGGTAAGGGATAATACACATGATAGACGAACATTATACAATCCAAGCTCCTCCAAACTACTTATCGAAACCGACTCACAATAGACGAACATATACAACCAGTTAACAGAAAAGTGAACTAGAAATGGAGAAGACACAACCCGTTACTAGAAAAAGAATAAATTTACATAATGTAAAATTTTTATAGTTTTGTACTAATTCGGGACTGCTAGCTGACATTATCTATTTATCTTTTTTCCCCCCAATGAATATCTTCTAATTTTCTCATATTAATCTCATTCGACTAGTTTAACTCATTCGATGATCTTAAATCAATGTAAAACTTTTTTAATTTTACATTGTGTAACTATATGCTACTTTATATTTGTGTGTAACGATCATAAATCAATGTAAAACTCTTTAGTTTTATATTGTGTAATTAGATCGTATCTCATATGTGTGCACGTGTGTGTGCGCGTCGAGTGTAGATTTTTACCTCAAAATTGATCGAGTTTCGAGTTGGTTGAAGTCTCTCTGAACCCAAGTTGGATCAAGTAACATGTGGATAAATATAATATTTGAGTCAGATTGAATCAACAAAAACCTAACATATGTAAATCAATGATAAAAACGTGTCACAAGTTTAAAAATTGCTTCATACCTAGGGTGATGATTGAACTCTCGGTCACTAATTGAAGTAGAAAAATCCCTTACCGTCGTTTCACCTAGGTTCATAGTTAATTAGAATTCAAAAAGTGATCATAGAATTAAAAGGAAATATTAGTGATCCGACTTCGAATAATTTTACACGTACGTGAGTTTATCTAATTTTAATCAAATCATATACTATTTTGTAATCGTCTTAAAATATATAAAAAATCACAAATTAAATCAATTTTTAAACCAAAGGCTTAAAATAAAAGATTTTGAACACCTTTAACACATTGTATGGAATCAAAATCCCTACAACACTATCACTAAACATTTAATGTCAGACTTATTAAACGTGCAATACATACTAACAATAAGCATCAAGTAATTATTTTCATGCCTTGAAGAATATGAGAATATTTGGAAAATGTGGATAAATAATGGGCAAGTCATTAACGTCTTTTGTTTTTTGTTTTGTTTTCTTTGTGGTGGTTGAATATTTACATATTCCAAATATTTTTTTACAACTAATACACTACTAATTACTAGGGTTGGTCCTTGCATTCATTGCCATTCCATAATTTGTTTTCTTGAGATAAGAAAGAAAAAGAGTATTCATTATGCATATGAACCATGTGAGGTATTCGAAACTAAAATTATAAATGCATCAAATTATTTTTAATTTTCGGTTAGATATCAACAATATCGAAGTTCAAGAATTAAGCTCACTTTATTTAACGATTGTGATTATTTTTTTAAATTACATATACAAATAATATATCTAAATAATTATAATTGAAATCGAATAAGATCATGTCGAATATATATTTCATTTGAGTTTGAACTTTATTTTTTATACGAGAGAAAACTCATGAATATATTAAAATATCATAACTTAGTCAAATTTGATTTGATAATGAATATATTAAAACTCAAAATTCTAGGATTACCTTACCTGTGAGTTCTTCAAGAGTTGAAAAACAAGAATGTTTAAGAAAAAAAATCATTCAAATTTAATTCGATAATTAAACTACAGTTAAAGTGACAAATGACTTGATATTAAATTATTGATCAACACAAATAACTCAATTTCAAAACAATCATTTACCTCTCCCTCGTCGAAAACAAGAAAATCGTGTATAAAACTAATTAAAAATCAAAACTAATAACAAGCAAGAATTTCGATTTCAACATGCTTAATGAAATTTAATGACCCGAATTTGTGGAATTTATTTTGAAAGGATAATCTCAATCATTGTAACGTCCTATACGTTACAAACGTTGAAATTCCATATAATAAGGAGCAACCCATAATCAAATTTTAAATTAGAAAATTGTAATAAATGCATGCAATGTTATCCAAAAATGTCATAATCCATGCCACAAATGTCTCCAGCTTGCAAACATCAAACTGTGAGTTAAAACTTGTTTGACTAAACTGCCTTTCAAAGAAACCTGTTACGGATCTGACTTTTCACACCCGTTTGGTGCAATCTCAGCAACAAAAATCTTTGTAGCTATGAACCCTACGAAACCAAGAGAGAGAGAAAAAATGACAGCCATGAATTATTAATTGATTTGGTTGGATGAAACGTTAAAACTTTTAAATCAAGTCAAGAATTTAAATATTAATACTAAAAATAGAATAAATTAGATCAAAATATCACATCTGTATACTATTCACAATATATAATCTAAATTATTCGATCAATAAACCAAAACTTATTGATCATAAAAAAAAATGGATGATGGCATAATTGTAATAGAAGAAGAAGATGGGACAATGTCTGGATAAGTCAACAGGTAAGCAGGTTAACATTATGACTGGAAAGGAGAACTTGTCTATTTGCGAGAACACTGGCCGAAAATTGAGGAAGCATCTTTATTCCATGAATTGCTTGGAATAAATGTTTGGTCTAATTTTAGTTTTAGTCCCTCAACTATGCTGAGATTGATTTTGCTTGCTTAATTTTATAAAATTAGATTTCTTTTACTTTTATATTATCATTAATAGATCCAAATAAATAATATTGTTAATAAGTTAACTTGGAATAATGATGTGAATTTCTATGAACATATCAATATTATTAATAACATTATAAAAGTAAATAAAAGATTTTATGTCAAATTAAATTTTGAATTTCGATACATTAAAGAGATTGAAACTATAATTATAGCTAAATGTTTTATCCCCGAAAATGAACAACTTAACCATAATATTATCTATAAATTTTCTTATTCATTTTCATAAATATTTTTATAAATATACATAATTATTTATTTTAATGTATAAAAATATTTATAAATAGCTCTATAAGAATGGAGAGTGGAGTTATAACCATAGTACTTGTTGGTCAAGTATTAATAATCTATAAATATATATTTTCAGTTGTATAGATTTAGATATTTTAAATAAATTAGGTGAACCATGTGGCAAAAGAGGATTGGTCGTGAGCCAAAAGGATAAATTAAGTAGAAATGTAGTTGATCAACTTGGCTGAGGCGGTCTTTTAATTGAAAAAACAAATTGGAACGACCAAAGTCCAAGTTGGAACCGTTCGCTTCCACTTTCCTAACAACAGATTCCAACACGAGACCATATTTTAGTCCCAAGGGTTTGGTCTGAAAAATAATTTTGGATAAGCTTTAAATATTTTAGGATAAACTAGACCATATGTCATTGAACAATACTTAAATGATCATTTTAGTCACAATTTTTTAAAAATTATAAATTAGTCATTAAATTTATCCAACTATTATAAAATGATCATCATAATCATGGATGGACCCATGATGAATTTTTAGTGGAGGAATATAGATGGTAATAAAATGAGGAAATTGTTAAGCTATGAATATAAAATTTTAAAATTAAAATATCAGTCTATTTTGCCCAATTTTGAAATTGGCAATGATCTAACTGTATTTAAACAAAAAAAAATAAGGGTCATACTTTATTTATCTATTTTTAAAATAAATAGAAACTAAAGAAATATTTAAACCGAATAGTTTAGGTTAAGACTTGATTTTTCTAGTTTTAAAACCAAGAAGGACCTTTAAAAGTAATTGGATCAAAAGAATTTGGTGGGTAAAAACTTATTTTTCTTAGATTCAAAAGTTTGAGAGACCTATAAATAATTTGACCTAAAATTTCCCCTCCACACATAAATGTTTTGTAACTTTTTCAAAATCTGTAACCAAAATGATTATTTAGTCATAATAAAATCACCTTTGGTGTATTCTACCCGATATTTGATTTAGTTTTTAAATTTTAAAATTTTCATCCTCAACAAAGAAATAAAATTAAAATTTCTAAATCCGCGTCCTTCCTATCCTTCCCACACGCCTTTTCTTTTCCCATTTAACGCTATTTGCTCTGCGCTATAAATACCTAATTTCTCTTCATTTTTATACAATAAGATCACCGAGTTTAAACACACTGAAATTATTTCTTCTTTCTTTGTTCATTTTTTTTGTTCTGAGAATGCTTGATATTGATTGGAAATCAAAAATGGTTTCTTCAGATGTTAGTAACAAATCCTCTGATAAACCACAAGTTTCGATTCCGACGTCGTTTCCTTTCTCGGATATTTCGTCGCCGCTTTCGGCTTCAGCTCCCGCTTCTTCTGCTTACGACTACTATCTTCGTCTACCGGAGCTGAGGATGTTGTGGCAAACAAAGGAGTTTCCGTCTTGGCAAAACGAAGCCGTTTTGAAGTCTGCTTTGCACGCCTTGGAGATCACGTTCAGGTTCATTTCGATCGTCTTGTCGGATCCTAGACCGTATTCGAATAGTCGGGAGTGGACGCGTCGGCTCGAGTCACTGGCGAAGAGTCAGATCGAACTCATCGCTATGCTCTGCGAAGATGAATACGAAGACAAAACGACGGCCGGAACAGCGCCGATCGTCGATCTGACGTCCTCGAATGGAGTGATCGCTCGCGAGTGCAGCTCCGCCGAGGTGTGGAAACTTCACGGCGAAACGACGGTCGTGAACCGGACAAGCGAAGCCAGTTTGTTGCCGAGGCTCGCCACGTGGCAGAAAGCAGAGGACGTAGCGCAGAGAATCCTTTACTCCATCGAGTGCGAGATGAGGCGGTGTCCGTACACCCTCGGTCTGGGAGAACCCAACCTATCCGGCAAACCGAACCTTGATTACGACGCCGTTTGCAGGCCGAACGAGCTCCACGCGCTGAAGAAGAGCCCGTATGATCACGTAGACAACCACGAGAACGCGGTGCTTTACACGGCGCACCAGATCCTCGAATCGTGGATTGAGACCGCCAAACAAGTATTGAAACGCGTCGTTTTAAGGATCGACGCCGGCAGCTTCGAAGCCGCCGCGAGCGACGGTTACTTGATGGAGAAGATCTGGAAGCTTCTATCGGAAATCGAAGATCTACACCTGTTAATGGATCCCGACGATTTCCTTCATTTGAAAAGTCAGTTGATGATAAAATCGGTGAACGAAACTGAGGCGTTTTGTTTCAGGTCGAAAGGATTGGTCGAAATTACGAAAATGTCCAAGGAATTAAAACACAAGGTTCCCTTTATTCTGGGCGTGGAGGTGGACCCCAAAGGTGGGCCCAGGATTCAAGAAGCTGCGATGAGAATGTACGCAGAGAAGCGGGAGGGTAATAAGGTCTTTTTAGTACAGGCGTTGCAAGCCATCGAGGGAGCGTTGAAACGGTTCTTTTACGGGTACAAGCAAGTGTTGGTGGTGGCTATGGGGAGCTTGGAAGCGAAAGGGAACCAAGTCGTGACGAGTTCCGTCTCGTGCGACTCGTTGAGTCAGATATTCTTGGAGCCTACTTATTTCCCTAGTTTGGATGCGGCCAAGACGTTTTTGGGCGAGTTTTGGAGTCATGGACAGGGTGGGTATGGACTGACTCGGCGGATGGAGAAGTGAGTTGCCTTGGTCTACTCATTTTGAATAGAAAACTTAATTTGGTTAAAGGGATAAGCAAATTGAAAGAAGAAAAAAAAATTCTTTTTAGTGTGGAAGTTTGAGAGTCGATTATTGTGTATATTTTTAAATTTTTGTATGAGAGATTCATTATTTATAGAAAAGAGATCAACAAAAATACATAATGTTAATATTCATTGGAAGTGGGATTGATTTATGAATTTAGCAGAACTTGATTCGAATATAATATTTAAGATGGCTGTAATGTGATCTACTTCCCGCAAAAAAAATCGAATTCGATGGGGAAAACCGAAAATCGAATTAAACGGGTCGGGTTCGGGGATGATAAACGGGGACGGGGACGAGAAAACCTATTTATTTTAAACGGGGACGGGGACGGGTTTGGTAATCTCCGCCCCGATTACCCGATTACCCGCCCCGATTACCCGCCCCGATACCCGACCCGATATTTATATATTTAATTTAAATATATATATATATACCCGGCCCGATTCTCGGCCCAATACCCGACCCAATACCCGGCCCAATACCCGTTTAAATAACCGTTTATGCTAAACGGAGATACCCGTTTCTCCGCAGTTTTCCCCGATTACCCGATGGGGATCCCCGTTTAAATCCCCGCGATTTTTTAAACGAGGACGGGTACCGGCTTTTTAAACGGGGACGGGGACGGGGGACCAATACCCGCCCCGTTGCCATCCCTATTCCTAGATAGAGTTTCCACGCATGGCCAGAAGATTATAAACCACTTTTGATATACATGGTAGAGCCCCTTTTCTCATTGAACGAATGATGTTGTATCATGCCATATTTGCATGTATTTTGGCTGATATTTCTCCTTTGGGTTCGATTATCATGGCCTTTGAAAACGTTTTATTTCCATTGATAAAACTTACATTGAATTCATTTGGTCATTGGCAACTCCACGAGTGGAAGTTTCTAAACCAAGTCTTTGCATGTGAAAGCTGTCAGCACCAACCAACCACAAAATCATGGAAGACAAACCCATCAATCTGTTACATATGGATAACGAGTGGAACACACGAAATCTTGTATTTTTGAAAAGATCCCTACGTTATATTCTTGAAGAGAAAATACATATTATAACTTCAACGATAACATGAACCTATCAAATTATTTCAGTAATTGAAAAAAATATTATTCTTTTTAATGATTATGAGTTCAAACCAAACATCAATTTAATAGTTAAATATGGACTCTATCGAATGAAAAATCACTAAATATCAGTTTAGAAAACGTCAAAGCACAAACCAGACATTCAGCTCATCCCAAAATTTTCCAGTCAAAACACATAATCCAACAGCAACGTGTCTCTGGTAATAACGCCATACAAACCTTTTTCCCTGCTATTTACCGGCACAAAAAATGGCGACTGATCTGAAAAAGGTCCCTATGTTTTCACTTATATCAGCGAACAATGAACTCAACCCATGTGGTATATTTCTCAACCACCCAAATTCTCGACCTCCGACAACCAGTGCTCGAATTTGAATCCTTTTTCATCCATTCATCAATTCCAGTAAGTTTCCGAGTCATAAATGTTCGAAAGTGTCGAATTTGAATATTAAATTTATTGTTATTGATCTTGCTTTAGCGGATAAAAGATCGGTTTTATAAACTATGGAGCTGAATTTAGCACCAAAGAGTATGTTTATACACAAAGTCCCAAAAAAATCAGTCCTTTTGATCTCCTTCGTTTGGTTATCGAATCATGGTGGATTCAATCAACAACCTTTGGCCTTTGGATTAAGCCGGAGAAAGTTCAAGGGATGCAACCCGAGACTCGCTTGCCGTGCACGGTTCGACGATGAAAACGGGGGCAAAAAGAGTAGAAATGCATATTTTTCCATCGAATGTCGAGTTGATCGACCCTGGTTTGCTCGATGAGGTATGTCGGGTCGATATCGAGCAGAGAGCAAGATGTTTCACCGTCCCGCATTCGCTGCGGATGGTAAAGAGGAAGCAAAATTGGAAAGAGGGTTTCGCCGATGCAGGGGAGTTTGCATACTGCTCTCTTAAAAAGGCGTTTTCGTCGCTCGTTTTGATCATAAGAGAGCTTCAAAGCTACACATTGGCTATAAAGGAAGGCTTAAACTGCGATGATTTAATCGACGCCGTGAACAAGATGCAATGTGTGGCTGTTTCAGCAAGTGTTTTCGAAAACTCCGACGCTTATGGTCTACGTGATGCTCCTCTTGGTCAACTTCTCATTACATTCGAATGATGAATAAGGCCTTTATCGATGTCGGTAGACAACCGATCGTGGAAGAAACCGATGAACATCTCGATGTCGAGGTTGATGGGGAATCAGGGTTATGGAGGACAATGGTGGAGGAGGCTTCAAGAATGCATTATAAGGGCATGGATACTCGAATCAAGAAGCAGTTGGTGTCTCCTCTAAATGTATAATAACTACGAAACTCATTTCAGAATGAATCTCTTCTATCAGATGCGTATCGCCGAGGAGCCGGAGAATTCTCTGTTGCTTTTGAATTATGCTCAGTTTCTTTACCTTGTTGTCGAGGACCATGACAGATATGATTTCCAACACTTGATATTAACTGCGACGTCTCAATTCGGAATACTTAGGGTCGTAAATAAGACGAGATATATCATAAATAACTTGAGTTTATTCAATCAAAGCCATTAATGTTTAATTTGAATGGGTTTGACTTGAGTTTTTAATGAGATGAAATGAACTATTTGATACCCACCTCGAAAAGTTCACAAGTAACTAAAAAAATTATTTTTTAATATTTATATATTTATAAATACAATATAAATTTTTCATGTACACGAGGTTCAATTTCGAACTTGAGTTTGAGCTTTAATCGAATTTGAGTTCGAACTTAAGCTTGAATCGAATTTGAGTTCGAGTTTCAATAGATCAAAACATGAAAATATTTCGAGTTCAATGTTTTTTCTAACTCGAATCAAGTTTTTATTTTTGATTTTAAGTTTGAGTCAAGGTTGATAATTTTAAGCTTATGAGATTTCGAGTTAAGCTCAACTTTGAATTCTTTTAGTCAAGTCGAGTTCAACAATACTCGAGCTTAACTTGTCTCAATGATAATCCTATTTAAAATGTATTATTTATTGTCAAATATTGACTCAAATTCTAACGGGTAATTAAATTAGATTTTATTATTATTCTATTGATTAATGATTACTTGATAATTAAATTTATTTAATAAATACATATTTATGTTAAGTAAGGTGGTGCTTGTTAAAATGTATGCAGTCTGCGAACCACATCTGTAGGCATCTGCAGCATAAGAGGTGGACCAAAAGTTTGCAATATGCAAGAAGAAGACTGTTTGTTTTTTAACGTCTACAGACTGTTAAAATAAATTGAAATATAAATAAAGTGATTTTTTAAACATAAAAGAGTTTTGCAATACTAAGATTTAAATAATTTTAATTTTATAATACTGAAATTTAAATAATTCATACAACTACAATAATAAATTTTTTAGAAAAACAAACACCACCTTATTAATTCTATTATAAATCTCACATAATCACATATATTATTAGTTTTATAAGTTTTATAGAATAAAATTTATGAATGATCATTAAATTATATGATTTTTTTAAACATTAAATTATCTAAAGTTATATAATAATATTAAATTTTGAATTTTATTATCATATGGCACAGCAACGTTAATTATCATTAAACTATTATTAATCAATGAATCATACACCTCTCTTTTTTTAAACATTAATTATCATTAAACTATTATTAAATATGCAATTATGTAATATTTTTTAATTTTTTAAATATATATTCCTAATTTATTTTTATAATTATATGATATTTTTAGAAAATATATTTTAATTTATCAAATTATTTTATGATTATTTTTTATTTAATTGTGATTATATTTTAAAATTTTAAAAACATAATTTATAACTTTTTTATATTTTAAAATCTTAATTATCAAACAATGAAATCATTTTTTATTAAGCAATGTGGTTTAAATATTTACATTTCGTATAAAAGGTTTAAATATAATTTAAAAATAACAAATCAAAAAAAATATTATATTTAAACTTAAATCAAAATAATTAAAATAAATATAAAATTTTAATAATATATAAAATAATTTATATGATATAAAATTAAATATCTATAATATAATATTAAAAAATCAATATTTAATTTATTTAAAAAATTAATATTAAAATTAATATCTTTAATATAATATTAAAAAATAATATTTAATTTATTTAAAAATTAATATTAAAATTAATATCTATAATATAATATTAAAAATTAATATTTAATTTATTTAAAAATTAATATCTATAATATAAAATTAAATATAAAACCTCTTTGAAGAGGTTAAAAGACGTCTACAGAAATAAGGTCACGTCTGCGTCGCACAGAAGTTAGAAGAACTTCTGTCTTCTAAAAAACAAACGGTCTGCGAAACCCAATGCCTACGCGTGGTCTGCGCGGCGTAGACATAAAAGGTTTGAAGATGTAGAACAGTGAAAACAAACACCACCTAAGAAATCTTATCGGATTATGTTTTTTTTAAGTAATCAAATATTTTGACTTTATAAATATAGGATATGATTTAACCTTTAGAATTATAAGACAATTATTATAGAAATATGTAATCGTGTTTTTTGTGTGTGTCTATGTAGCTTTTGGGATCTACATCATATAAAATATTTTATAAATATATTGAAATAGTATTTTAAGGTACATTGAATTTTGCTATAAATATTAGATTTTGGAATACATATAATGTATTTGTAGTCCTTACTATATTTACGTTTGTAGTAAATTATTGTTTCTCACATTCGTAAAAGTAAATAAGACTAAACCACAATAAATTTTATCTTTTATGTATGTCTTATTTCTATGATATCATTTTATTATAAAATGTTATAAAGTGATTTTTTGTTGGTACATTATAAGTTTAATTGATTTCGTTTCTTATTTTAATTAATTACAAATCAATTAGATACATAAAAAGTCAAATTATGTTAAGTCAAATTATGTTTGGTCATATTTTCTTTGTTTCTTTATATTTTCTTAGGTCAAAGGTTCTAAAACTTTTTTCCTTTAGAGTTTTTTCTCTTCCCTTCTCTCCAAATAAAATTTGAATTAAATTTAGAATTTGTATAAAAAAATTTTGTCGTGTAAACACCATATTTGGTCCGATTTAGGTCGAAAAACTGAATTTAGATCCAAATTAAAACCAAGCTAGCTTGTTCAACTCAGAACAATCTAATTAAGCCTGAGCTTAATTTAGATCTAAATTTGGAAAGGCGTGACCCGCAAACTTCGAGCTTCATTCGCCAATGGAGATGATGATCCGTGCGACGATGGCCATTGACAAGTGACAGACTGTGACGACCAACCGGTTAACTTTTAGGGTGCGTTTGGTTCACGGAATGTAAGATTATCAGTGGGAATAAAAGATTATCAGGGAATAGGATTACTGGGAATGTTGTATTTTGTGTTTGGTTGGTTTAGCAGGAATGTAAGATTGCCGTGTTTGGTTAAAGGAATAAAAGATTATGGGAATGTATATTTGACCAAATTGTCATTATATATTTGTATAACATTACAAGTTGTAAAATATTTATATATTTTCTTTAAAAAATTAAATTCATAATATTTATATAATTTTTTTACAAAATTAAAAATATAAAAAAAGTTTAATGAAAGGGTAAAATTTTATTTTAACCCCTGAACTTCATATAAAATTTTAATTATAGATTTTTTTTGTAAATCTAAAATAATTTAACATTCGTATAATTTTTATTATTCCATGACAGAAGAATGATATTTTTGAAAAAAAATAAAAATTTAAGGGTATTTTAGTCCAAAACACCGGTAATGTTACAATACCTAAGGGAACGGAGATAATGACATTCCCGGTAATATACCCCAAAAAATTCACTATTGATAATAAAACATTACCAGGAATGACATTCTTGACCAAACCAAACGGGGGAATGTGGATTCCATTCACAGGAGAATCCTACATTCCCCCATCCAAACGCCTACTTGAGGAAAAAAATAGAGAGATATAAAAGTGAAAACGAGAATGAGAAAAAGAAAATGAGGAAAAGGGATGAAAAATGATTTTTATATCCTCTTCAAGACGCCATCGTTTTGCTGCTTGTGAGTTGAGTCAACTTGTATCTGACCCGCGAGCATAACTCGAAACCATGAAGACTCGTGCCTTTTGCATTTATTTTGGGTTAGTTAAGTTCTGACCCTCGCTCTTTTGTATGTAATTTAATTAAGTCCTAATTCATATGTACTTTTTTTTTCTATTTTTTCTTTTTTAAAAAAATAGGTGTCACCTATTACATTAAAATACCTACCGATTTTTTTTTAAGGTTGCTAATAATGTAAACGGTATAAAAAATAAGTGTTATCTATTACATTAAAATATCTACCGGTTTTTTTTAAAGTTGTTAATAATGTAAACGGTAAAACAATATGTGTCACCTATTACATTAAACTACCTACCGTTTATTTGAAGGTTGCTAATAATGTAAACGGTAAAAAAAAATAGGCGCAACCTATTATATTAAACTGCCTACCGGTTTTTTTGAAGATTGTTAATAATGTAACGGTAAAAAAATAGGCGCTACCTATTATATTAAAATACCTATCGGTTTTTTTGAAGGATGTTAATAATGTAAACGGTAAAAAAATAGGCACTACCTATTACATTAAATTATCTACCGATTTTTTTAAGGTTGCTAATTAATAATATAAACATTAAAAAAAATAGGCGCTACCTATTACATTAAAATACATACCGGTTTCATTATAACATTAATAGTGCCTATAAAGTATCGATACTTTATAAAAATATATCGATACATAACAATATAACAGGTAAAAATATGACAAAACCGGTTTCATTATGATAAAATCGGTAAAGCGCTACCAGATATGTTGAAAGTATCGATTCCATTTAAATAAGTATCAACACTTTTGAAATTTAAAAGAAAAGCAGTAATAGTGCCTATAAAGTATCAATACTTTATAAAAATGTATCGATACATAATAATATAACAAGTAAAAATATGACAAAATCGGTTTCATTATAACAAATCCGATAAAACGCTACCGAATATGTTGAAAGTATCGATACTTTTAGAATTTAAAAGAAAATCAGTAATAGCGCCTATAAAGTATCGATACTTTATAAAAATGTATTAATACATAACAATATAAAATGACAATATTTCTATAAATATCCATATTTTTAGAGTAAGTATGTATACATAAGTTATGCAATTTATGTTTCAAAATTTTTTAATAGATCTTCATGCTTTCAACCTACAACATTAATTTAATAATTTCATTTACACAAAAATTATTTGATTGTTTAGATATTTTATAAAATATCATTTAAAATTTAAATTTAACAATTTTAACCAAAGATAATAATAAATATGCAATATATATGTTTATTTTTTTTAATTTAATAATAATATACACTGTAACATAAAAATAAATCATTAGACGTGTATAATTACTAAATTAATATATTAAAACACACTCAAAAGATAACCCTAAATTTATATTTTTCACAGTGAAATAAGTATGGACACTTATATATATGTATCGATACCTACCGGTGACCAAAGTTTACCGGTTACCAAATTTTATAATAGTTTTTTATGTTTTCTACCTACAATATTATGAGTCTGACAACATAATAGGTAACACTTTATCGAATTTATTAATTATCTTATTAAGTTTCTGGTCACGCCGTTTTTTAGTGGTATATTGGTTCGTTTTTTTTAAGACAACCCCAAACGATTGAGATGAAGTCAACCTAGTGTAACAAATATAAAAAAATTGGATAAACTACATCAATGACCATTAAAATTTGTATAAGTTTCTCTTTTCATCATTAAAATTTAAAAAGTTATATTGTGATTGTTGATATTATCGAATTGTTAAGAACAATCACTCAGTCGTTAATAAGTTGTATGGACAATAGATATTAATGGCTGAATAATCATTTTATGACAAATTGATAATATTAATGAGTCTAATGTAATTTTTAAACATCGGTGGTAAAAATAAAAATTTAATGCATTAGTTACCGTTGTAGTAGTTTATTAGAAAAAGGTTATACTATTTCAAATACCACTAAACTTCGGACGCTGACTCGTTTATACCACTAATGTTTTAATTTTTTCAATTTTAACACTAACGTTTACTTTTAAGTGCAATTATACCACTCTGTTGTTAAAGATTTAACAACATGATGACATGACAGTCACACGCCATGACGATGCTGACGTGGATGCTTAAAAAAGCCTAAAACGACATCATCTTGTTAATATAAATAATATGAATTTTCTATAAAAAAAACCTAAAAATCTTGAAAAAACTCAAAATTCTCGAAAATACCAAAAAAATAGAAACCTTAAATCACAATCTCTAAATTCATCAACCATCGTTGACAATAGCACATTGCTGCCACCACACAGAAGTCTTCTCTTCTCGTCATGCAAGACATTCGTTATTTGCCCGTCGATATATCGTCGTCCATGATTTGATTAGAACATTTCATATTCGGTGTTTTAATGATCAATTAACACATTACTCTTTGATTTCTGGTGACAGAAAGTGGGGTAATTGATAGCAAGGGTTTGGCGACAAAAGTTGTGGGCAGTGACCATTGATTCGACGACGACAATGGGTGAAATTAGGGATTTAATATTTACGGCTTTGGGTTTTTTTTTGAGGAATTTGAGAATTTTAAAAAATTTAGGTGTTTTTGAAAAAAATATTATTTTTATTATAAATCATATATAAAAATATTAACCAAAATTTGAGAATCTGAACTCTATGTTATGTATACTATATTTATAAGAATTTAGTTAAAATCTCAAGTTACTTGAGTGGTTAAACTTTAGCCTTTGTTTCTAAAGGTCTAAAGTCAAATTTTATTAAACTCAAAATTTAACTAAATCTTTCAAGTAAGACAACGTCGTTTTGGCTTTTTAGGCATCAAACGACATCGTTTTGGTGAGACATCTATGTCAACAATATCACGACGTAAAACTATCATATCATCGTGCCGTTAAATCATTAATAACTGAGCGGTATAATTACACTTAAAAGTAAAATTAATGTTAAAATTAATAAAATTAAAATGTTGGTAGTATAAACGAGTCAGTACCTAAAGTTTAGTGGTATTTAAAGAAGTTTACCCAAAAAAAAAATACCGGATGAACATGAGCAAATAGATGGCAATAAATGTTTGAAGGAATTGATTTGAACTCCTAAAGAAATGGTGGTGATTCGACTGGGGATTCCTCTTTCTGCTAGAAACGATGAATTCGGTGCAGTAGCACCTTCCACTGCAAAGTTCACACCCTTTTCGAACTCGTCCGGTTTTCGATTCGATCCGTAATATGATGGTAGAAAGGGAAATCCCAAAGAGTCAGCTGCAAAATCATGCCGAATTCAAACCATATGTACAAGAATAATACTTAAACAAAAGAGTTGGGACTTCTACCAAGGAAATCGCTAATTAACCGGCCGTCGCAGCGCCTCCCGGTTGGACGATGAAAAAAGGTGCGGCCGTTCGGAGGAAAAGCCGACGCAGGAAGCCGGCGAGACACCGAACGTGAAATCGCGACTAAGTTACCGGTGTCCGTCAAGGAATCACCGAAGCTGAAAATCGAGGCGAAACATGCATTCACCGGTGAATGAAGGCTGGTTAATATGGCAAAGAGGAAATCAACAATAATTAAATGTTTCAACATTTTACATGAAAAGAATTGCACCCTAAGCTTTGAAATGTGGATATGTATACTGCTACCTTTCCGTGCACCTAACGCTAACAATAAAATAATGAATAAAGTACAGTTATTTAACTATATTAAAATATAATACTTTTAACTACTAAATTTTCAAAAATTATAAAATGATCAACAAAATTTATCAAATTGTTATAAGATGGTCACTATAACATTATAATAAATTGTAAAAGTTTGATAAATTTAATGATCTATATGTAACATTTCAATAGAATTTCATAACAATTTTGCAATAATTTGATAAATTTAACGACTATTTTGTAACTGCTCAAAATACTAATGACTATTTTATAATTTTTAAAACCTAGTTACCAAAAAAGTTATTTACACATAAATTAATAACCTAAAGCATACTTTACCCTAAAATAATATAAAGGAAAGCATGCTACACATGCGATATATATAGGTTTGGATCCACTTACACAATGTAAAACTTTTTTTAATTTTACAAAGATTTAGGGTTGTTGGATGAGTGTAAGTAGAGTGTCGAGATTAACTCCTTATTTTTTCAGTGAATATTTTCTTATTCCATACTTTTAATATCATCATCTATTTTCACTTATCAAATGATTCTAAATCATTGTAGAACGAAGAAGTTTTACACTATTAAATCTCATATATATATATATATATATATATATAATCAGGTCTGTCCATTTACACATGTAGCCTGTAACACGTCATAGGCCCTAAAATTTGAGGACCTACTCATAAATGTCATTCGAGCCTATCCATGTATAACCTTCGCGTCCTAATTATATTTTTATTCGAATAAAAAACAAGTTTTCCATTTGATTATCAGGAAAGTGATATAAAAAATAGTAAACAAAGATTTTGATGGTATCTTTAATAATTTTTCATGATAAATTTTGATAAAAAACTTTATAAATCTTTTATAATTTAAAATTTAACGATTAATTCTGACTATAAAATATTTCAATAACCTCGATTTAAAAAGTAACACAAAATCAGCACTCCAAATCCCTTTATATTTGCATATCCATTAAATAAAATATACTTTGAGGGTTCACATCACACATTTCTTTGAATTTATTTTAATTAAAAAATAATTCAAATATATTTGTCAATCTCTAAGTACACTTTATTTATTGATATTAAAGAAAACGTATGCGTTGCTCATTGAGATTTGCGTTCATACGAACATATAAACAGATAAAACGCATCATTAATCATCTAGCTATTAGTACATTTCTGATTTGATCATCAAACTACAAAAACTCTTGATTTTGTCACTAACATTTTTTGGTTGATTTTGTTTTAATCATCCAGCCATTAGCGTATTATAATGAATACATTTTTAAAATGTCATTTAATAATATTGTAATGTGATATATGACACAGATTTTTAAAAAATTGTATTTAATTATCAATGTAATTAGTGGAATGAATTGATGAAATTTTGAAATATAAGAGTTTTAATTAAAATTTTAAAATATAAAATTTAAAAGAAAATTGAATTTCATGTAACAACAATATTTTCTTTTATTAATATAGAGTGATTATAAGGTAATATATGTTACAAAAACTTTTAATCGTTTAACAATAACATTTTGTCGACCCGTGTAAACATCATACTCGAACTTAAAGCCTTTAAAAATAAAAGTATTCCCTCTAAGCATGGTGTCACTGCACCTATAACAACCTTTAAAACTCGAAAAAGAAACCTTTTTACCTTAATCCGATCCTATTAAAAATAGTTTCCTCTGATGTCACCGCTTGATTATCGATTTTCTCGGTACGTATCCATATTCGACACATATTTAAACATGAATACTACATATCATCAATTCGACATGTTTTTTGCAGCTGAAGATTTGGGATTTCCGTTTCTACCACCGTATTACGGATCCAAAAATGGAAGATCGGAGCGGGTCGAAAAGGGTGTGAACTTTGCAGTGGAGGGTGCTACTGCACTCAATTCATCGTTTCTAGCAGAAAAAGGAATTCCCATTTTCTCCACCAATATTTCTTTAGGAGTTGAAGTGAATTCCTTCAAAGATTTATTGTCATCTCTTTGTTCATCTTCTTCAGGTTTGCCATATTTATATTTGTTTTAACTTATCTTTGGTTGGGGAGTAAATTGAAAAGGATACTTTTAAATGGGTCTATTTTATGAACTGAATTCCGTTTTGATTGGTTTCAATAAGTTCGAAGGCCAACCCAATTGTTGGAAGATAAAATTAGGAGGAAAAAAAGTATCAGATGAATGTGTTGACTATTTTAAGTAGATTTTTTAATATGTAAGATTATTTTATAATCGAGTAATTATTTTTAGATATTAAAGATTAAGAAGGACATTACTAATTAATTAATATTTGAAAGTCGTGCATAATTTGAATGTTACTGATAGTTTTGAGTAGATTTTTCATATGCAAGTTTATTTTATAATCGAGTGATTATCTTTAGATATTTGGATTAAGATTAGAGTTACAAGTTTGTGTTTAACACTTGGAAGTCGGCATAGAATTTAAATGCCATGTGTGATTTGAGTAGATTTTTTTTAATATGCAAGTTTAATTTAAAATTAAATAATTATTTTTAGATACTAGAGATTAAGATAAGAATTAAGGTTATAAGTTAATCGACTAATACTTGAAAGCCGTGCATAATTTGAGTAGATTTTTTAATATACAAATTTAATTTATAATTAAGTAAATACCATTAAATATTGAGGATTATGATTAGGATTATATGTTAGTCGATTAACAATTAAAATGTTCGCACATCAACATCGTCTTTCACGACAAGATCAATATCAAAATGTACGCATTTCACCATCGGTTTCATCTCTTAAGATTAGTTTTCCATGAAACTTATTCAAAATCAACGAAAATCCATCTAATTATTTGATATCTTCTAATGATCATTCGATGAGGCTAGTTTTGAGACATATTGTTTGTCTTCTCGAAATAATACTTCTCACTGTTCGGATTTTCGAACAAACACCCTAAATCTCTTAAATCTTCGAAAGCCCCCAAATCCCTAAAATGGTAGATTTTTTTGTTTAATTGTGTCAATTTTTAGTGGGTTTCATGGAAAATCAATCTTAATTATGAGAAGAAAGATGAGTGAAATGAGAGTATTTTGGTACTAATATTGTCATGAAAGACAACTGACGATGGATGATAATTGGTTGCCGGCAACGACCGAAAAACTACAGTACAAAAATTCTGTTTAAAAGTTATAGCATCAAAATTGATACACTCTTAAAGTTTAGTGCTTAAAACACACCATTTTAGGCATTCAATAATCGCATCAAAACATTATCGTTTTGTCCATTTTATCACATCGTTTGGATTTTAATAGTTCAGTGGAACAATTGAAGTCAAAACTAAAATTCAATGTTATAATTGAAGAAATGTAAAGTTTAATAATATAGACAATACACCACTTGAAGTTTAGTTGTATCTAGTGTAGTTTAACTAAATGATTAATAAATAAATTTCAAACCTTGAAATCAAAGCTGGAGTAGCTCAGTTGGTTAGAGCGTGTGGCTGTTAACCACAAGGTCGGAGGTTTAAGCCCTCCTTCTAGCGAGCCGTGTTCTATCTTATTTGTTCTTGATATTTTTATTCAAGGTAAGTAGCTAGTATTAAAGGAATACTTATCTTTGATTAGTGCTAGCTAAATTATTGATATAATATTAAAGAATTTGATTTGAAATTATTCTCAAAGCTAGTTATGTTCAACATTCAAAATCTCCCAAACTAGTTCATTAAATTCATCTCAACTTCTCTTTAATTGTCTTAAAAGGGACTCCCATAATCATACTCATGTAGGGCTCCTATCCCTATTATCCAATAGTATCGTATTGTCTTAAAGCGGTAAAATTTTATATTGGGGTTGAACTTTTAAAATTTTAGGGTCGAAAATATATTATCAATAGAAAATACAAAGAAAAAAAATTTAAAATATATAATGATTTGAAAATTTCAGCGGTTGCCCCCACCCGCCATCTCTTTGATCCATTCCTGGTTGGATCTTTAGTTGAACTCTCTTCTAATACGAGGAGCAAGAACTAAACCTGGACATATAAAGTTGAATATGTTGATTGGAAAAACAAAAACATTCAACTTGATAGTGTATCCTTCCAAATGCTTGAGAATCTAACAAAGCTAAGTTTACGAATTCATCAAGTTACCTCAGTGATGAATAGAGTATTATTCTCTCTAAAGGTTATGCGTTCGAGTAACTGTGTCTACAGGGTGTGTGCACGCGGCCAATTGGTTAAGAAAGTTATTATCTTGTAATCATCCTAAACTATTAAAAAAAACAAAGCCGAGTTTACGCCCTTTAACAATCTTTTTTTCCCCTAATGAAAACATATAGTATTTTACCATATCTTTCGAACATATCCTTGAGTCATCTCCAATGGATTTTTGGTGACAAATTATTGACAAAGATAATACAATATGACTTGTTAATCGTCTTCTGATTAACTTTTCTAATTTTTTTCATTTTTTAATAAGAAAGAATTATCTTCACAAAACATTCAATTTAATTTCACTATTTACATGTCTAGGTGTTCAGTGAGAGAATCTAATAGTTTTGCAATTGAACGCCAAAATAGTAACTTTAAAAAACACACATACTCATAAAATAATTACTTTCTGCACTTTTTTATCCATTATTTCAAGATTAATCAGTGCGTTGATGATTACCTGATCATAATTTTTGTTGATAATTAATAAACTTGTCAATCCTTCATTAATTTTTGGATACAAGGTCTGGATTATTCAGATTCTTGTTTAACTTTTTAACTTTATATCGGATGATATTGAATGTTTAAACAAATTTGATACCACATCCTCTTGTATTTGCAACGACAATGATATTAATCGAGCTAAACTGAATGGATAGTATTAACTTATTAAGAAAAGATAAATTCCCCATTGAAGGACCATTCCATGAACTTAGAGGTCCAC